CTAAAGTATCTAACTTGTGTCGACAGAGGCGTAAGAGCAAAAAATTAGAAATATGTGAGGCAACGTGATGAAATCAGGCCCTCGTCAAAATAATCAAAATGAGAAAACTTGCATTTTTCCGAAGGTTTGTGAATTTTTATAAAATTTTTGTTTTTTGGCTCAACACCTTTCATGCCCATTAAAGAACTCATTTCAGTGTAGAATTTTCTGAAAAACGTTCGTGAAAGGCACAAAAAAATGTAAATTTTCAGTCTTAACAGACTCTAAAGCTAAGGAAATAACTAATATTTGGCGGCCATTTTCTCTCTAATTCTACCTCGGAAAACAGGTGACCCCTACCTCCTTCTTTCACAAATATTTCGACTTGTATTCAAGATAGAAGGATATTTTTTTCATCCAAATAATAACAAGTGAACAAGTTTTAAGATGATACCTAAAACTCTACATGCCCAAAAATTGATGAGAGCCTGATTCCACCACGCTGCCTCACATAACAATATGGTCTTTACAACCTAGTACAATAACATGATTACCACATACCGTTGTCACGGAAACAAGAATAATCGTAAGCCATAATATTATATTCTCAAAGAATGTTTAATTTTGCAAGAAGACAAACTATTTTTATCCAAATGTTGTAAACAGTGATCAGTTATAGGAAGAGAAAAAGTTGAAAAAAACAACAACGGATTTTTTTTTAAAAGCACTAACAAAAACTACTACTGTATTTCTTTCAAAGTACGAGTACATGAAGCTCAACACATCAACAAGACAAAAAACCTCTTCCTGAGGAAAGGGTGATTGTTTTCTTCGTTTAATTTGACTTTAGAATGAAAGGCGAGAGGTCATTAAAATTTTTAAAAACTAAAACTCCGTACTGAACGAACCCGAACTGCTGATGAACAGCAGTCGATCTGCGCCACAGAATTCTACACTTCTACAATTCTACTACTTCTATTATCCGGATTTTGTTAAAGCGACTCATTGCCCAGCCCTACTCCACATGCCCAAAAATTGACGGGCGTCTGATTCCACTTGGTGGAGACACTAGCTCTATCTATTTATTTGTTGTTATTCTCTTTGTTCAAACCACCCCCACCCCCGGGGCGGTGCTACTGACTGAAGTGTCTTTATGCCATTCCCAAAGAGGGGACATCATTTCTTATTTCACAGTAGAATTGTAAAAGGGCTGATTCATCAATGTCAAGCTCATAACTGTGCCTGAACTTCAACAAGGAACTGCTGCTTTTTCTTTCCTAATCCTTACTGTCGTCATTTTTCCTCTACTTCTTTATATATGTTTGTCATACTCTTGTGATCCGCTATTTCCGGAGTGCCTTGATAGTTGAAGCAGATTGTGTGCTGTTGAGACTAGAGAGGTGAGCAGAGTAAGTCTGATTCCCTGTAAGTAAGGACTTCTCTGTTGATATCCACCCCTTGGCGCTCATATGACCGTATGCAGTTGCGAGCGCCGTAAAACCTTATTAAAACAAATAAAAACCAACCACAGGGGAGAATTCTGTGTCCGTGTGCTCGGCGGGTGCTCTGGTGTGGTTTGTTCCTTCTTTCATATCAAACATCTATCGTGGGTGGTTGGTGGGTGCTCTGGTGTGGTTTGTTCCTTCTTTCATACCAAACATCTATCGTGGGTGGTTGGTGGGTGCTCTGGTGTGGTTTGTTCCTTCTTTCATACCAAACATCTATCGTGGGTGGGTGGTTGGTGGGCGCTCTGGTGTGGTTTGTTCCTTCTTTCCTATCCAACATCTATCGTCCTTATCTCTCCTCCTTCTTTTTTATTGTATGCTATTCTCTCATGACACCTATTATCTTCCAAAGTAATATGACCTATTTGTGTTACAAGTGCAGTAAATGTCTTGCTAACTAACTCAAATAAAAACAAGCAAACACAGAAGCAAGTAAACAAACAAACAAACACAGAAGCAAGTAAACAAACAAACAAACAAACACAGAAGCAAGTAAACAAACAAACAAACAAACAAACACAGAAGCAAGTAAACAAACAAACAAACAAACACAGAAGCAAGTAAACAAACAAACAAACAAACACAGAAGCAAGTAAACAAACAAACAAACAAACAAACACAGAAGCAAGTAAACAAACAAACAAACAAACACAGAAGCAAGTAAACAAACAAACAAACAAACACAGAAGCAAGTAAACAAACAAACTAGTCTACAAAGAACAAGCTCGGCATCAAACTCGCCAAGTTTCTAGTTGCCGCCATTGTTGAGCGTCGCCAGTGTCCATCGGGAGTTTGGTTCTTGTTTTTCTTTGTATGAGTGGAGGTCAGACAGCTGCAGACACTCACAGTCACGTGTGCTCCTCTGGTAGTGGAGGCTGTTACACACCTCTCCCCTCTCCCCCTTCTTCCCCACACAAACTGTGGCACACTCCAGCAAACTTCTCACACCTTGCCTCGAGAATAGCGGGGGAGCCTGCAAACTTTTTCGTCCCTTGGAAATGTCCATGGAAAACTGTACGGTAGAAGATGACGCGTTGACCGCCTGGGCAAACACTTCGACTTCACACAAGATCAGATCCCATTTGCTCCTATAGACCGTGACAAACCGGCCAGAGACCGGACTAACACAAGGCTGCAGCACAGTTTTCCTTCTCCCTATCTCCGTCTCCACGCGCACACACAGTTTTCCCAAACTATTCTCGTTCGGGAATTCGGGATCGTTTTGGGGATTCCCCTCGGCCACGTAAACTGAGGAATTCTTCAGGATGATTTCATCTGGAGATAGTCCAAAATTATAACTAGCACTAGTGATTTGGACCGAGTGGACCAGAAATGTCTGAAGAAGATCGACCATCCACCAGAGGTGTCTGTTCATTATATAACCTGAAAAAGAGCAGTTGTCCACATTTGTGTCGTTGTTTCCATCGATCGCGAAACGGGCGAGATATAATCCGTTATAAGTATAAGGATATTCTGTTTTTTCTGCCGGTTTTCCCAGAGCTACATTGTCCAACCCATTTGCGGGGGTAGTGCAGTGCCAGAGAAGTAGGACGCTAACTATGACACAATGAGCGCAGACTGAGAGAACAGTCTTGAGCTTCCAAATGTTTCTCAACATAGTCAATTGTTTATATCTCGTCAATGTTCGCTTCTGTTTAATATATTCAAATTTTGCCACGAACGCTGTAGTATGCTTTATGGCAATGTATTGTTCTTTTTGTCTTCGTTCAAAACTAGTGTGTATGTATTGTAATGTGTGTATGTATTGTAATGTGTGTTAATGTATTGTAATGTGTGTGTATGTATTGTAATGTCAACGTATTGGAATGTGTGTGTATGTATTGTAATGTCAACGTATTGTAATGTGTGTGTATGTATTGTAATGTGTGTTAATGTATTGTAATGTCAACGTATTGTAATGTGTGTGTATGTATTGCAATGTGTGTGTATGTATTGTAATGTGTGTATGTATTGTAATGTGTGTTTATGTATTGTAATGTGTGTGTATGTATAGTAATGTCAACGTATTGTAATGTGTGTGTATGTATTGTAATGTGTGTATGTATTGTAATGTGTGTTAATGTATTGTAATGTGTGTGTGTATGTATAGTAATGTCAACGTATTGTAATGTGTGTTAATGTATTGTAATGTGTGTTAATGTATTGTAATGTGTGTTAATGTATTGTAATGCGTGTTTACGTATTTTAAAAAGTGATAACGTTTTGTAATGTACATTAATATATTAACGTATTGTAATGTGTGTTTATGTATAGTAATGTGTGTTTATGTATTGTAATGTGTGTTTATGTATAGTAATGTGTGTTTATGTATTGTAATGTGTGTTTATGTATAGTAATGTCAATGTATAGTAATGTGTGTTTATGTATTGTAATGTGTGTTTATGTATA